AAAAAAAAAAAAAATTAAAAATTTATCTTCATGAGAATTTTTGTTTTGAACTTACAATATCTTTATCAGATTTTTTTCCAGCTTTTTGCATAACAGATTGAACATAAAAGATTACTGTGATGCCATAGGGTACAGTCTTGGGCTGGGGATAGAAAACATAGTAGAACATGTTTTTCAGGAAACTACATTCCCTGGTGAAGATGATGCATTCAGCAAAGAGAGTCGGGGGGCAGGTTATGGAAACTGACTACAACTCTAAGGATACGCTTACCTTATTTGCAGTATCACTAAGTGAAGGAATGGGAAAAATTAATAATAGGAATTATTTCAAAATAAAATACAGCTGGCTCTTCATATTGTAGTTCCTGGATTCAACCAACCACAGATCAAAATAATTCAAAGCAAAAAAACAAGAAAAAAATACAAATTTAAAAAATAATACAGCATATGCAATAAGAATTCTTTATAGGGCACTTTTATGGCATTTGGTATTAGAAGTAATCTACAGGGCGGTGCCTGTGGCTCAAAGGAGTAGGGCACTGGTCCTACTGGGTTCAAACCCAGCCCTCACCAAAAACTGCAAAAAAAAAAATAAAAGAAGTCATCTAGAGATGATTTAAAAGATATGGGAGGATACATACAGATTATTGGCAAATACTGTACCATTTTATATCAGGAACTTGAGGATGCCCAGATTCTGGTATCTGTGGGAGGGAGTCATTTAACTAACATCCCGGGAATACCGAGGGACAACTGTATACATCTCAGGAAAATGTGCAGTTGTTCTGAGATTTCACAGTTCCAGCGTTTTTCCTGTCTTCTGTCCTTTGCACCTAACCTGCCCAAGCTGCTTCTTGGGACAATGGTTTCATTTGCTATTGGTGAACACTAGTGATTCCACAAAAATTCCTGAACTCTGTGGCCTCATTCCTGGCCAAGCTATTCACTCTTCCCTTTCTTTGCTGTATATTTTAGTTCAGGTGTTATTTGGTCAAATTGAGTTCTAACCACTTGTCTAGTATTATGTATACGTTAAAAAAAAAAAGAAAAGTGAATGACAGAATAGTAACATAGAAAGAAATGAACCTGAAATCACATATGCCAATTACTGTACACATCAGACCTAAAATCCTCCTGGGGCCCTATTTAGTGCATTTTATCTGGGTGACATTCAAGAAAAGGTTATGAAGTACAGATTTTAGGTTAAAAAAACAATATTTAAAACAACAAATATTTTATAGACAGCAACAGCCTAGAGAAAAGAAAATATTAACAACTATTATTACTGTTATCCTCATCATTATGTTAACAGCTGGAGCCAGAAGAAACCCAAACTTGTTAAGTAACTAGTCAGAGATCACCAGACCAGGTTTATAGGAGTTAACATGGTGAGGCAGAAGTACAAAAATTACTGATAAATCAACAAATACCTAATACCTTACTTAGTTCCCTCAACATTGAAAGTTTCCCTGCTGGCTTCTTTAGTGGAAAGTGAGTTTTACAATTATTAAAGTTACATGACACCATGTTTGGTCCTTATTCTATGAGAAAGGTTAATACATTCTTAGTTCCTCTATTCAGTAATGCAGATCGAGCACCTCTCCCTGAGAGGCACCCTCATAACCACATGGGAGACAAACGTAAACAGGTCAGTCACTGTCCTAAGAAGCCTACAACTTAGTTGAGGGCTGTGACAGAATGGATAATGTTTCAGTTATGTAAACTGTTTAGGTAGAGGCAGCCAGTTGTCCTTCCATAACTCTTCTCTCCTTCTCTTTGGACACATGGCTACCCAGAAGAATGACTACATTTCTCAGCCATGCTAGTGGCTTAGTATTGCCATGTGACTACGTTCTAGTTGATAGGGCATAAGAGGAGATGTGTTAGACAGCTTCCAGAAGAAACCTCATCTACAAAACAGTTGGTACTACTCTCTGCCCCTTCTTCCCTGTCCTCTAGCCTACTGTTTGAAATCAGGCTGGAGCTGCATCACTGATCATGATGGACAAGGCCACACCCTAGAGATGAATGGCAGACAACCCAAAGGTCACTGGATCCCTGAGGACTTTGTGGAGCTATAGCACCAAATCCAGGCTGCCTACCTCTGGGCTTTTATGTGTACAGGAGTAGTAACACTCCTTCTTAAGATATTTTATTTTAGGTTTCATGATCCACACTCATACCTAATCCTAATTAATAAGTTAGTAACAATGAAAGTACCACACATATGGAGAAGATGGACAGACAGTACCTCAATGGAATGGATTAGGAAGAGATGGCATTAGAAAAATGTGTGAAAGGGCTTGGGGTCTGTAGCTCAGCAGCTAGAGTACCAGCCACATACACCAGAGCTGGCAGGTTTGAATCCAGTCCGGGCCTGCCAAATAGCAATAACAACTACAACCAAAAAATAGACGGGCGTTGTGGCAGGTGCTTATAGTCCCAGCTACTTGGGAGGCTGAGGCAAGAGAATCACTTAAGCCCAAGAGATCGAGGTTGCTGTGAGCTGTGACTCTAATGGCACTCTACCCAGGGTGACAGCTTGAGACTGTCTCAAAAAAAAAAAAAAAATGCATGAAAGATTTGAAAAGGAAAGGGAGGGTATTCCAGGCAGACAAAAACAATATAAAACACATTGCTGACATGGAAGAGAGTTTTGGGTGTATTTGGAAAATACTAAATAGTTACAGATTGTCAAGAATAAAGTGATTATTTCAGGCTGAAAATATTAGGCTAAGACAGATGTTGGACGATTTTTGAAGTACAGTACAAGAAATATGGATCTCATTCTTTAAATAACAGGAATGCCATGGTAGCCTTGAGAATGTGCCTCTCAAAGCTCCAACTGCAGGGAGAGTAGCTGACTAGAGTCTCAAGTGGCTGTGCTCTGGAAGCCAAGACCATGTTCGCACCAAGGTCACATCTTCCAGGGCTGCACCTACACAAAGACTGGGCAAATCAGGGTCACGAAGGTAAGTCTAATCCTGGGAGACCCAGGATTCTTCTGACAGGAAACTTTGAGCAGAGGACTCTCCAGCAGCCTTGTCAATTTTCCTTAAAACTGCATCAGCTGTCTAAGCAACTTCCACCTCACTTCCACCCTTCTTTCCCTCTCTCCTTTACTCTGGGTCAGACTTTTGTGTTGACCTGATGGCTCTCCTAACCTCTCTCCTGGCTCCTTTTCCCCAAATAAATTTCTGTACATTAAGTCTAGTCTTGGCATCTGCTTCCTGGAAGACTTGAGCTAGCTCACACACTTAGGGCTTTTTACAAAGCAGTTATCAATGGAGTTGTATAATGGAATGCATTCTTGAGAAGATAGAGTTAGGTACATGGAGCTTGAAAAGACAGGAATTTCTGCACTTTAGAATTAAATGGGAATCAATGCAGGCTAATGTAAATCAAAAAATGAAAAACACATCAAAGTGAAACATAAATAATAGCTAACACTGAGTACCTATTACATGGCAGAAATTTTCTGAAGCATTTTATATTCATTAATCTCATTTAGTCCTTACAATAATTCATTGGCATTGCAGACGAAGAAACTGAAGCTTTGCATAAATAACTTATACAAATTCCTATAGTTAGTGGTGGAACTTAAATTGAAATGCAGTCAGTCTGATTTCTACATTCGTCTACTCTGTATCCAGTTTTTTTAAGTACTTATTAAATTTTAATTACATTTTCTAATATGATATTCACTAATCAGTATTAATTTATATATCATATATTCTAAGAAAGTGAGATTAAAGGATTAATCTTATGTGTATCTATTTCCAAAAATAAAGAGGTAATAAGATCATACTGATTTTTTTCTTCTAATAGGGTAGCTCTTTGAAAACACAGCAACTCTAAAACTTCCCACCATCTGAACAGGACCCTCCTTTAGAAATTCTTGGGCAAGCCAATTCCCAAGAGCTTCTGGTCTAATTATTATGCATAATTGTAGCTTATGAAAGGTAATTAGTAGATTGGTTAGAAAACATGGCTTAGAAAAGTAGCCATGCTTTTTAGTTGATAAAGGGATCTTCCGTTTTGCCTACAGAGAGGAAACATGGTATTCATCAGAAAGAAATCAAATATACACTAAGATTTTGCCCTATTTCTCAAAGCATATTTACCAGTAGAGGTCACTGTTACACCAATTCACTGGATTTGTCCAGCTATCACTAAAAGATTAGAGGACCTGGCTGAATTTATAACAAAAATCAAAATGCTATTAATATGTAAAATATATTTACACAGAAATATGCTACTGTGCAAATATTAAAAAGGTACAAGATGATGGTGAAATTTTTTTTAAAAAGAGGCTATGGCAAGGCAGAAGGCAGCTTCTGCAGACCTTTGAGGTCAGTCTCATTTTTTAAAACAAAAACAGTCTGTGCACTTTGTTCGTGTAGCTGCAAGCTCAAGTAGTTCTGCGTTAGATAGACTGTAGGGATGATTTTTGTTTTATTTTGCTTCCCACTTTTTATTACACAGATTTCCTTCTCATTTTTTATGATGAACTGTTTTGACATACAGAAAAGGTGAAGGAGTACATCCTACTGCTAGATTCAACAATTTCAAATATTTTGGAACATTTGCTTTATCTATGTTGTATGGGTAGATATATTTATTTAAATATACTTAATTTTCTTTGGCTGAATCTTTTTTTTGAGACAGAGCCTCGGGCTATCCCCCCCTGAGTAGAGAGCCATGGCATCACAGCTCACAGCAACCTCCAACTCCTAGGCTCAAACGAGTCTCCTGCCTCAGCCTCGCAAGTAGCTGGGACCACAGGCACCCGCCACCACGTCCAGCTATTTTTTGGTTGCAGCCGTCATTGTTGTTTGGTGGCCCAGGCTGGATTCGAACCCGCCACCTTAGGTGTATGTGGCTGGCACCTTAGCTGCTTGAGCCATAGGCGCCAAGCCTGGCTGAATCATTTTAAAGTAAGTTACAGATACCATGTCACTTTGTCCCTAATACTTTAATATGAATCCCCTAAAAATAAGAACATTCTCCTACTAACATCTACCTAATTCCAGAAAAAAAATAATTCCCCATTATCATCTAGTATCTAGTCCATATGCAAATTTCCAGTTGTCCCCCAAAATGTCTTTGATAGTTGCTTTGTGTTTAATAGGGATCGATATTCAAGTTTTACATTTTGCTACTAAGTCTCCAGGCATAGTAGCCTTTATTGGTTTCATACAATGACAGTGACTTTTTGAAGTGATCCAACCATTTATCTTATAAAATGTTCTGCAGTCTAGATGTACCCAGAAGTTATGTTCGAAGCACCAAAGAGCTTATCATAGTTACTGAAGATTATACTGCAACATACAACTATGTGAAATATTTCTCTGATAGGTCAATTGTACTGAAAAAGCATCTGGAACTTTAATATAAAATAGTAAAGTTGAGATAATGTTCTATTTCCATATGAGGCTTTTTGGATTTAACATCAATAACAAGGAATAAAATAATTTGAAACAAATGAACAATACGATAAACAGCATTGTACCTGACGCTTTATCCTAACAGATTTATATATTCTATCACGTAAGCAAACAACACTAGTTTTTTGCTAGGGATGAAAAAAGGAATATGAGGAGGAAGACTTGGTAGCTTATTCTAAACCAATTTAAAAATTCTTCAAAAAGCCCATGTAAGATTGGGACAACCACATCTATCACCTCCATCACATAAACACTTTAGATAGTTTCTGAGTAACAATTAACAACAATGAAAAAATATAAATTAAAAAGCAATGAAAAATATGGAAAAGAACAGATCTGATTCTAGCCATCAGAGGCACCTCTATCGGTACATTCAGGATCATAGGCTTCCTTCTGTTATTAGTTAAATCTTCATGGCTGATTCCAGATCAGAACAGACTTAACAGAAAAGCTAGTTTAGAA